TATATATAATGTAAAACACAAATAAGAAAGAAATACTCCGTTTGATTCTTCACCAACACAATTTACGGCTCAAATTATGGAATGACATAAGCTTGCAAAGGGTTCGAGTCAGGCTTGAACAAGGAAGACAAAGGGAGCTTGCTTTAATTTAACAATTCCTTGTGTGTGATTTGCTGGAGAAGCGAAGTAAGCTAAGGCAGAGGGTGATCGAGTACCTCGGTCGTGGCTTCAAGGGAGGCAAGGTAGAGAGAAGATGAAAGCTTCAGAGGCCTTTGTATGTTGCGACACCGGCATTGTTTCCCTTATGGATCTAATTATGACTGTATCAAGGAGATAGGCGCAGAAAAAACTAGGAAATTGGGAGTTTCGGAGGTTACAGTATACTAAAATCTTGTTGTTGGTCTTCCCGGGCGCATAAGGAGAAGAAAGTGGGAGTGTCGGGTTTTTGTAGACCGGCCATCCTGTCATTGCCTTCCTAGATTGTTCTAATCACAATTTTATCGCGAGTGCATTGGTCTGGAGACAACGCAAAGGAAAAATAGGAGTTTCGAAGTCTTCGTAAGTCACGATTTTGTCATTGTCTTCCCATCCAGCCTTAATAACAACTATATTGGAAACGAACGACCCCTTTGTTGCCTTAACAAGTGCAGCGGAGACAGGCTGGAGTATTAGAGGTCACTGTACGCCGCAATTACGTTCTTGTCTTCCCAAACGCAAGAGAGACAAAGAAAGAGAGGCAAGATGCGGCTCCTGCGTGCGAACTAGGAGTAGATCGGGCAGCCAGGAGAAGAATAGCGTGGAAGGGGCAATCGATGGGACTAATTTCATCGTACGATCAGGAAGGAAGACGAGTTGTGGCTCAACCATGTTGCTTTCCTATGATTTCACAAAGTTTTGGAGTTGGCAAATGGGTTGCATGTGAGGGGAGGATCGAGCGAGTGTTTTGTAGCAATTGTTTGCGATCAAGAGGAAGAAGTTGGGAGGCTTGACCTCCATTGCGATTTCTCTGCTCAAACAAGGAAAGAGAAAAACTTCGGGGACCTCCGAGGGAGAGGATCAGTTGTTTCATGATGAGGAGTAAGTTGAGCAGGAATAATTATAGGCTTCTTTTTTATTTTGTTCTTTTTTTTATTTTATTCTTTATTTTTAATAAGTATTTTATTGTTCAACATATGAATGAAAAATAGCTCAAGGAACCATTCTCATTTGGGAGTCAAAGGCCATATTATGATATAATTTCATAGTTCCAAAATTACCACAACATATCACTAGTTACTGAAGAAGAGAAGTTATCAAACAAAGCTCAATTATAGTGATTGTGACTCAATCTTGGTAGATGAGCAAAATTAACTAGGTTTTAATTCTTAGAGCTTTAGGAAAAATAATTGTGGCCAAAGTAAATGACAAAGGCATTGATGAAAATGAAATCATCTTTCTTCCCTACCTGAGGGGAGGGGGTGATAATCATGCATAAATTCATATGCCCTATTTAGTATATAGCCATCGTATAAACAGTAGATACAAAAAGCCAACC